ATTACATGTTGTGTATTTTACCAATTATTTACTTTTTAAATCATTTAAAAAAATGTATATTAAATATATTTTGTTTTTTTATTGGTCCTGATTTGGAGGCACTTGGGTGTTATCTTGGGACAAGTTCCTTAACCTCATTGGATCTTAGGTGTTGATAGATTGAAAAACCAAATCCACCAAAATGGATGAATGATGATGATGATATTTGAAACTCTAATTTCATCTGATACATTGATTATATTATCATTCTCTTCCCTCTTCATCTTATCCCTTTCTTGTTTTTACTTGTGCTATATGTTTTGGAGAATGTTCTACATATCATTTCTCTAACATATTGGTACATAGATTGTTATTGACCGACTTCAAAATAGATGCGACTTCTACATAAGTCCACTTATGATTGCTTAACATAGCCTAAATTTGTCCCGATTCGAAAAATGATCATTCGTGACTCAAACCTATGTTTGCAAGCTCAAGTATGTTTAATTTAAAACCTTGGGTCTAACAACTTTGAATTTCATTGTTAGGAGACTTTGATTCTATCAATCCTCTAATGAATTTCATGAATTTTGGTCTAAGTGAATCATTTGAACATCGTCGATCATATGTGGTTTCTTTGAGTACTTGAAATGAATGATATACTTGACAAAAAGCAAATGAAACTTGTTGTTGAGAAGCTTTGATTTTATCAATCTTCTAATGAGTTTTCAAATGCAAGCTTCAAGATGGTCATTCAACTAACATTTTAACTTCTAATTCACTAATAATTAAATTTACTTTATGCCTTTATTTTGTGCCTTCATTTTTATGTACCATTTATTTTAGTATTTACATCTCATGATATTTTCCTTTTGTTCACTTGAGCATTTATCTTTATGTCATTTTAACTTTTCTCATTTGAGCTTTTATTTTCTTTTGAAACACTTAATAATAAACTTGAACATTAAAAAACGGTAAGGTTACTTGGACTATATGGTTACTATCATTGGCATTATGGAGTTGTGAATATCTCGGACTTAAGATTAAAAGTCTTAATATTCGGTGACTTTGTTGTTCTGTTGTTACTTTGTCTGAAGTTCTTAGAGTTTACTTCAAGACATTGGGTTGATTTTCTTTGTGTGCAGGTTATTCTAATTATATACTTTATCTGTGAATGAGAATTCATCTGTATATAGTTGTTACTCTGCCCAATTTTTGTAAAGACTTAATTCATCAGAAGCTTGGTACTCCTTAGAAGTTTAGTATTTTTGCTTGCTTGGTTTCAAACCAAAGGATGTGAATTCTACATTGACTTCTTATATCAAGTGTTGACTTCTTGTTGGTTAGATCGTTCTTTTCCTTAGCTTTTACCTTATGCTTTAGGATAGTCCCTTCCTCTCTTCCTATCTTCTTTAATTTCAAAAATATTCTCACTCATTTTCAAAACTCTTCTTGTTTTCTAACTTGAACCGCTTTCATAATAAACTTGGACTTAGGTCCATACATTTTCAAAAATCTTTTCTTAATCAAACTTTAATCAATTTAATCATACTTTGACATTTTTTTCAAGACTAAAAGTCATTAACCTCATTTAAATCATTTTGCCACTTTGGCTTTTTACTTTAAAACCTTTTTTCTCAAAAGATTAAACTCTAGTCAATTCTTATAGTGATGCGAACAACTATACTTTAATATGTAGTAAAGTGAGATATTTTCCACTTGGGTGTTGAGTGAGGCTTTGTTGATTTTAAAATCCAAGCTATATCCTCCACTTTAAGATGATGCAAATTATCCTTTCTCGTAATTGTGGCTAGTAAGTATGTTTTCCACTAAGATACGATGATTATGTTTTTTCTCTCAAAATTAACCAACACATATGTGTTTTAAAATTTTTGAGGTGAACTACGAGTACCCTGGTCCTCTATTGCATGGAAGATGGTAGGTAGGCACTAAAGGTTCACAACTGCGGGGGTGCAAAAATTATATAAAAAAATACTTCTTTTCTCATCTCCACCATCTATTTTTGTATACATCTTTTATAGCCAAAATACACAGATTTTCAAAGAGGTTCATGTGGAGTACCGTAGATGTTTGGGTCCTAACACATTCCTTTTGCATAACCAACCCCATACCTAGATTCTCCCCCCTCTCTTTAGGGTTTATTCGCTCTTTTACCATTTCCTTTGGAAACAATAAAGCGTGGTGACGATTTTTATTTGATCTGTACGAGTTAAGTCAATCTAATGGTTTAGTCTCAACATTTCTACTGCTACAATGGGATGCAAGAAAGTCCTATCATAGAAGGAACAAGTTCCAATATCGAAAATTTAACAAGGTTATCTAATGAAGGTGCAACTGAAATGGAATTCGAGAGAAATCATATTAGAGATGAGATATAGATACATTATAACAATTAAGTGAACTAATTATCTCTCTTAGATTTCATACAAGCAACTTAGAATTTTAGTGATTATTTTCTAAATAATTACGTTGGTTTGATTTGATATGTATGCTTCAGATATTCCTATACATTATAATACTTTGATAACAAAATATTTTGTGTGAACAAGTTATTAGCTCGACTCTAAAAAAAAATTAAATTATATATTTAATAATAAGAAGTTTCTATCTTGACTTTATTGTGTATCAAATTGTGCCTTTGTATATTTAAATATAAGTCATTAAAAATTTAATTATTATAAAAGTATTTTTTATTTTATATTAATTAGAAAATATTTTTTAAAATTGGATTACCAAATAGATTTTTTATTTTCCTATTTCTGAAACTGTTTTTTAATAGTTCTCTTCTTAAAAATATTTTTCTAAAATAATTTTATAAAACATACTTTAAAAAGTAAAAAAGCAAGATTGATTCAAATGAGCCCTTAGAATTCTATTTTTATTTTCTATATTTATTTTCTGTTTTTTATTTTTATTTTATTAGTGATTTTAGTTTTTAATTTGTAATTTTTTTTTTAATTTTTACTCTTATTATGTTCTTATTTAGTTTTTATCTAGTTCAATGCTACTAAGATAATTTTCTTTTGTGAATGATAGGCAAAAGAAGACATGTATAAGGGAGCTGACTATCAACTTGCTCTGTTATCACAACATGAATCGTTAGCAACGCAATTGGCTGCCTACACTCAAGTTCAAGCAAATGTTAACCCGATCAGGACCCTACATTGTGATTTATGTGAATGGTTATTGTGTTCCATACGTTGAAGAAGCACATTATATAAGACATTATCAAAAGGCAAACCATTACTTCAACACCTATAACCCATGGTAGGATGACCATTCAAGTCTTAACTGGAGTCACAATCAAATTCAAAATTTTAATCAAGAAGCTCCTCAAGATCCATCACAAAGGACTTCATCTCTTCTTGAATAGACTTTCTTGCCTTGGCTGTTTTAATTGAGTCTGCCTCCAACATGGTGTTGTTATTTAGAATGATATTGTGCATGCTCTCTTTGATCCAAGTTAACTTTTATGTGAAGGCATGCAAATTTTATTGTTGAACCATTTGGTACATATTATTCAACAACTCATTAGCTTCTTGTTGTCCAAAATTAGCTTGCAGGAGCTAGAAACTGAGAAGTGCTTCACATCTGGTCATAACTGATGGTAATATAGGTGTGAAGAAAGGCTCTCTTAGATGAAATTATGGAGCGTTTCCGAAAAATAAATGAGGTTGAGATACTCACGGATCTACCCTATGTTGGACAAGGTTTGGCGTTGGAGGAACAAAAGGATTCCTCATCAAGGTCTTATCGTCTGTCCCTCGAGAAGGAGGATACAAATGATTCTTTGACGCTTCGGCTGCTGCAACCACTTGCTATTGAATGACGAAACGAGTGGCTTTGGAAGTTATCATTGTTTGGTGCTTCAGATGCAATGGGTTCGATTTCGAACTTAGAGGAATTGGTTTGGAGATAGAGATACGTGCTTCGATAAAAGGATATATGGATTTGATTAAATGAAATCGAGAATCAATGAACCATAGAAATTATTGGAATCAAATTTCGATTCCCACATACGTCACCAATGTTTTCTACTCTAGAATTGTGTGAAGATCAGTAAACAGGGATCTACGACGAGCTGCAGTAGTTATGGGTTTCAGATGTGGTGAAACGGGAGTTGACTTGTAAACTTAACACTTCAACGCTCAAGTCAGTAAGAGAGTAAGAAATTGAGTTTAAATGGAAAATAAATTGTACCTAAAGAGTGACCCACATTCTTATTTAAATATGATAGGTGGTTGGCAACTATATGTCAGTAAGATGTGGCTGACTGTCGACTCATTTATAAGAGATAATGCATTGTGATTTTCTGAGGAAAATTCTATATTATAGAGGAAAATGGAAAGTCATACTCTCTTTGTGACCACCTATTATCCATCTACTGGGCCTTGTGGTAGGCCTAGAACATATTCTAACCAAGTTGCAATTTACTACAACAAGAAGTCTCATCCCTATTTTCCTAATTAATGTGGATGTTATAATGTCTGATATGAATGACCAATTGCACCGAATGAATCATCATCTCAACCACCGCAAAACAAGAAGGATCGTTAGTGTAGAGTATCATTGTAGTATGTCAGTCAACAATAACAAATGTGTTTAGTTTACCAACATACAACTTTAAAACGTCTTGATATTTGATTTGTATAATACAAAGGAAAATTTGAATTAATTGTTACCTTGGTCAGATTAGTTCAAGTTCGATTCATTCTAATACATATGATGAAATCGCAACGTGAATGTTTAAGTCTAATAAAAGAATTGGTTGTTTATTAATTCATCAATTTCATATTCCATATAATCTTAAAGTTTCAATAACCCACTTTATATTCTAGAATTTGAAAAACATTTATGTCAAAAAGAGAAGGGTGTGAGAGGTGATAAAAGAAATTCACAAAAAATTTCCTTTATTTTATTTTCATTATAATTTTAGTACACATACATTTTAAAACCAAAAGATTCTTAAATATCTAGTGAAATAAAGTAAACTAAGACCACTAAAGCTTCGATCCAACGTTTCTCTCACTTGTATCTTCAAGTGCCCGAATCACATGAACCAAAAAACTCTTCCGATTCTCAGCATACACGTGTCCATCCCATCCACGTTTCACCAAATCATCACCCAAACCAACCGCAGCCTTAACCGTCTCCTCAGCACTATCATGCGCCGAGTCAACAATCCCCAACCTCACCGCCTCCTTAGCCGTAACCTTCCTCGCCTGCATCACGATCCTCCGGCGAGCCGCTGCGTCACCAACTTTACCCTCAACGACAGCCACAAACCATAACGGAATAACTCGTTTGATATCAAGCTCGCTCATGTAGAGAAAGCCTCGGTCAGATCGCATCAAAACGTAGTCATGAACGAGTGCGAGGATGTAGCCTGCGGCGGAAGCGTGACCGGTGACGGCGGCGATGGTTGGCATAGGGAGGGAGATAAGATCGGAGACGACGGAGCGGAGTAGATCGTCGACGAGGATTAGGCGATCGGGGAAGGATTGGGCCCAGTCGATGTCGTAGCCGTTGGAGAAGAATTTTCCATGGGCGGTTGTGATGAGAGCGGAGGAAGCGGTTGCTTGTTGACGGACGCGGTGGAGGGTGGATTTGATGGAATTGAGGAGTGTGGGGTTGAGACGGTGCTCGCCGTCGCCGGTTAGGGTTAGGATGAAGATGTTTCCTTTCTTCTCTAAGCTACACATTTTTTTTTACGTTAGTTTCTTAACTCGATGAAAAGTTGATGAACACCACCGGGAATATATTAACAAGAAACCGGGATCAGTAAAAATTTGAAATCTACCGGTCAAACATTTAATTTAATTCTTTTTTGCATAACGACTTTTCGATTTTTTTTAATAATGATACAGACTAAAATGGGAAGATATTATATTTCATTCCTTGCGACAAGGACAATAATATTATCCAACTTGCGAAAGATAAGATGTCAAGAGAATTTGGGGAAAAGATTGACTCGGAATGTCTTTGGATTGAACGTTGATAAAATTGATTATCCTATAATTGATTGATTATCCTATAATTGAGTTAGATTGATTGTAATATAATTGAGATACAATCAATTCTATTTTTAATAAATCAAACATTTTAAAATTAAAATTATTCTGAATCAATTCTTCGTCTTTATAATTGATTTTGGACATATACTTGTTTTATTGTAGAAAAGTTACGGTTTTCTATTTTCTGAACCATTAAATCCATTCATCGATTAATAATATGTCACCTTAAATTTATTATTTTCTTTTTTAAATAAAATTTGATAAAACATAACAAAGGAAGTATACTTGTTGTCGTCGCCATGCATCACCACCACGTTCTACACCGTCATGATGTTATTACATTACCAGCCGTTTCGATCGCTTATGAGATCCGGTTTGCACATTTTACGTGATTTTTTTTTTTTTGATATGCTTGATGTCATACCTATAAGCCATATCACATGAAGGAAATGCAATCAATTTCTCCAATCTTTGTCCAAATATCAGGAGTTCACACAAACGTATGATACCAACAAACTCACTTTTTTTCACTGATTCATTTTATTTGAATTTCTCTTTTATAATTTTTGTTTTAATTACTCTGCAATCTTATTTTTTTAATCCGCATGTCCAGATATTCATCATATTAGCAATTGTGGGTATTTTTATTACACCACTTATTGATTAAAAAAGCATCAGTTTTGTTTTCTCTAATGGCGTCTGAAACAACACAAGGACGGAGATGTAAGAAAAGAAGAAAAAAAAGAAACAAAAGAAGTGTGGTACGGTGGGAGAACTGACTTGAAGGTTTTTGCATTTGATCGTAAATGTTGCGGTTAGCAAGAGTCGCCACCGACTTTTCTTTTATCCAAAAGGAAAGGTGAAAAAGTACAGGAAAAACCTTTGAGATTGTTTCTTGAGTTCGGGGGTAGATTATGAAAAGAGAAGGTATTAGCATCCTTTTCATCCATGGTTATCCATGGGCTCTTAGTTACTTGTTAGATCACTTGCTTTTGTTTGAAATTATGCTTTGTGTGGTTTTTGAAAGTATTTTGTAAAGAGGCCATTGTTTAGGCAATTTTTGTAATGATTCTTGTTTGTAAGAATGTATACAAAGATGTTGATCTTTTGAAAATATTTTCAAGTTTTGTAAGATGTTTTAAAAGTGTAAGTGTTTGTTTTTTTAAAAAGCAAGGATGTTTGTTTTGGAATGGAACAAGTAATTAGGAGCATTCTACCTACTCAAAAGTCTTTCTTGTACATTTCCTTTCCTTTGACATTGTTATCTTACCATTGATTTGGTAAGTAACTCTATCTTTGGATGTAAACGGGACGGACGTGGGTCATCGTATAACCACAATTAGCAATGTTGCAAGGCATCTTAGCATTCTCTTTTAGGGACTAAGATCATTTGTAAGACAACTTAGATAACGTCATCGAGGGACTATGATCTTGTATTCGTTTGTTTTTGCTAAGATACCTCACATGTGTAATATGACCATTTTGTAAGGCAACCAAGTGGATTTTATCCTAGGAGTGCTTGTGTGCAAGTGTATTGTTTTCATGCGTGTTTTTGTCTTGAATTAAGATTTTCTATTTGATTGATTTTCATTCTTTCCATACAAATCTTAATTACTAGCATGTGAATATAAAATATTTAAATTGTGGAAAATAAAAATACTAAGCTATTACATGATTTGTGGGAAGGGGGGTGTACAAAGTATAAATGGGGATTGCAAGAAATTAAACCCTAATTAAGTTATTATAACCATATTGAATTGAATAAATAAATGTACAAGATATGAAAAGGAATAATGTATAAAGTAATGAATAAAAAAAAAGAATGGATTTTATTTGATTTTGTCCTTGTTAAAAAAGTTATTATTTTTTAACCTAATGACCTAAAAAAGTTTAAATAAAAAAAGATAAACTAATTTTAATTTAGAAGAGAAAATATTTTTAAGTTTTAAAGAAGATTTTAACACTAGACTAAATAGGATGAAAATTGATTAAATTAGGAAAAGTATAAATTCTATGTTTATTTTAAGAAAATAAAATAAACCTAAATCTAATTAATTAAAAAAAAATTAAGTTTATAACAAAAATATTTTTTATGTTTTTAGTCTAGAAAATAAAATAAATATATATAGTATGAATAAATAAATATATATATATATATATATATATATATATATATATATATATATATTTTGTCAATAAAATAAATATTAATAATAATAATAATAATAATAATAATAATAATAATAATAATAAAAAGTAAATAAAAAAAAGTCAGGGGGATTTCATTAGTAAACAAAAGAAGATTATGAGCAAAAATGAACTAAGTCCAATGAAGAGCCCAAATGCTGCCAAAAAAAGAACAAAAAAGAGTCAGAAAAATGTGAAAAGAACAAAATGATCACGTTGGGGCTTGAACCCAGGACCATGAGGTGAACAGGCGCACGCTATACCACAGAGGTGGCTATACATCCATTAACTTGTATGAAATGATAAATACATAACACAAAACACGCCCTGACTGTACTTCATCTTCAACCTCCAGCCAAAGGATCTGTAACTTGCTTATTTCTCAATCATTTGCAATAATGTAAACATGAAAATTGCCCCATTTTGTCACACGAATCCAACCATATAAATATCATAAACTATAAATTAAGGATGCATGAGAATTTCTAAAAGTACTAAATTCTGACCTAAATATTTCAGAAAGTTCAAACTCAAAATTCTCCTAGCTCAATCAAAATAAATGAAATCTATGGACATGTACAACTTCAGGGAAATGATGTCTACATTTTATCTTCACAAATATAAGCCTAACAATGCCTAAGTAATGAGATAGAAGTTCAAGAAAAATACCTCAAAATTGGAAATCGTGAAATGGATTTGAGTTGGTTTCAGGCAGTGTTGATGATCAGGTTAGCTTCCTTGGACCTCTAGGAAGCTAATGCAATGGCTAGCTTGAGCTGAGGGTGGCTGGAATGGTTTGGAGAAGTCCAACTATGATGCTCTGTTTTTGGTTATGGAAGACAGGGTAAATGGTGTTACAGAAGTGAAACAGGTACAAGGATGAGTTACCCTTGATGCAAGGAAGCTTTAGAAACTAAAAGGCCAAGAAACGCACGAGGGAAATGTGAGTTTGAGGTTCAAGGTCAGAAACTGTGCAACAATGGAGTTTTTGGGCAATTTCTAATTTGAGAGAGTTTTGGTGTATTTCAGGGTGCTCAAGCTCGTCCTCTAGCTCACAAATAGTGCCTCTATTTATAAGCAACAAGTTTGGAGACTTGTTGTTGATCATAATTCAAAATCATAAGTTTATGCATAACATGTGATTTTTGAGAATTTCAAGTTTCCAAGCATTATGTACTTGCTAAGATAGAGTAGTTATGATTTAAACAAGCTTGCTTCTGACTTTGTGGATGGAGTGTGATCAGAGGGAACAAGTTAGAGGCTCAAGAATTGACTTTACATAAAAGCTTGCTTTTCTAAAATGGAAGTGTTCACTTTGTGCCATTAATGGAAATGTGGATTGGATAAAGCTTAAACCACTTGGATTAAAGATTAAAAGTTTGTGTAATCCATTAATGATGGATAGATACACAAGTTAGGAGGTCTGTAAAGAAAGATTATGCAGCCTAGGTTTGAAATTGGATTTTTGTTCATCATAAAACACCTTGTAATTCAAGTGACAAAACACCAAATTCATCTCTTTGATTCTCCCTACTCAAGAATAATCTCAAGGAGTTCTTGGACATTTTGGAAAGATTAAAATTTTCTCTACAACTCATCTTTGAATTTATTTTGAAGACTCACCTTAGAACTATATGAAAAAGTTCCATGAAGTTGAGTCAAAATCCTGACCAAATTAGGGCAAAATTTCACTAAGTGTTTAGTTTCATGACCCTATGTTCTTGAAATTGTAACTTGAGATCCAAGCATTTTTAGGAGAAGTTGTGTGAAGTAAAGTTGTAGATTTCATGGAGATTGTGATACGGTGGGAGAACTGACTAGGGTTTTGCGTTTGTTTTTGCAAATGTTTCGGTTGAGCAAGAGTCGCCACCGACTTTTTATTTTATCCTAAGGAAAGGTTTAAAAAGCACAGCAAAAACCTTTGAGATATTTTCTTGGGTTCGAGGAGTAGTTTATAGAAAGGGAAGGTATTAGCACCCTTTCTATCCATGGTTATCCATGGGCTCTTAGGTACTTGCTTAGATTAACTTGCCTTGGTTTTCAATTGTTTGAAATGGTGCTTTGTGTGTGGCTTTGAAAAGGTTTTGAAAAAGATGCCTTGTTTAGGCTACCCTTGTAACAATTCTTTACTCGAATGTTTTACAAAAGGTGTTTGTCTTTTTGCAAAGATGTTTCAAGGTTTTTTTTGAAAGTTTGTTTTGAAAGTGTTTGTGAAGTGTGGTTTGAAAAATAGGCAAGTGTTTTGTTTTGCAAATTGACAAGTACTTAAGAGCTATCTACCCTAAAGTTCTCAAATATTTTTGTTATCTTTTAACCCTTTTAACAATTTTGTTCCACCATTGCATTTGGTGGGCAATCTTGTGTTAGGATGTGAAAGGGACGGGCGCGGGTCATCGTTTAGACCATGATTGCAATAGTGCCAAGTATCTTTGGGCAATTTTTTTCTTTAAGGGACTTGATCATTTTTTAGGCAACTTTTCGAAAGCGTCATCGAGGGACTA